ATACATGAGATGACTTGCGCTGGGCTTGCCTCGGAGAATGGAATTCATTGGCTCACGGGGAGGCATATGCACAACCCCGACAGGTTGTCAGATTTGGGCTCGCAGTCCAACCATCGGCGGAGCCGTTGGCCACGAGTGAAACGGCCGCCACCACTAGCTTCGCCGCTGCGTTTTGAAACGGGAACATTAGTTCGCAGTCGTTCTAGAATTGCAGAGTGCGAGGGTGTAGAGGGTACGTAAAACATCCTGCGCATGTGTCCGGCGCCGCGTAGTCGCGAGCGTCCCTGGCATATCCCACACCTCCACCCCTCTTCCCCGCTACACTGCGTCTTTGGACTCTTCGTCGTCTTGAGCCTGTCAGTAGCTAGTCGTGTCAGTTTCGTTCCTCCCACCCGCGGCTCCCTGACGTCAACATTCACCAACTTACGAAGGTCGTTCATTCAGCTGAGCAAGGGGTCAAAGTATGATGAGTCCGACTTTGGCGGCTACTGAAGCAAGCAGAAGACAAGAATCCTCGCCCTCGACTCCACATCTTGCTCTCTAATCCAGTCAACATTTCGTGTCCACGAACCCATGGAACTGTACGACAAAGATGGTAGTCTCAAGCTTGGCCTAGATCGTCCCTCGGCGGCCTGTTTCGCTTCTAAATTTGGACTCGATGAAGCTGCTGCAATGTAATGCGCGTCACCGGTAGATGCAAGGTACCCGAGAAATTCAGGGTTTCTCTCTTTTCTCAAGACAACGTCATTGATCGCTCCGTAAAGGCGGCTTTGAGTTGATGTCTTCTTAGGCGGGAGGCAGCCGGCCTCCCTGATTCCATTGAGTTGGGCAGTAGGCTTGCTGTAGGAACCCATTCCGAAGCACACACACATTTCAGTCGGCATATAAAAAGATAGGTGGGCTCTGTTGATCCTCCCTCCTGGTTCTCCCTCTTCATCCTCCTTGATCTTTCTCCTTGATACTCCTTGATCCACCTTCTTCATAACCATTCTCGGCGCTGCTTTTCAGTACCGCTTGATATTCGCTCTTGATACCCCTTCTCAATACTCTTTTTCAATACCTCTTAAAGATCCCTCTCCTTGCGAAAGCTTCTCGATCCTGTTCTCGATCTACTCTCTTGATCTAATTTATCGAACCTCCCTCTCAACCCCTTTTCTTGACATCTCTTCCCAAGCTCTGTTCTCAATCCCGCTTCTCGATCATCTTTTGTTATTCTCTGCATTATTCTCAAACCTGCTTTAAGCACACTCAGTGACCGGACTCCATGTCTCACAACATAACTTTACCCAGGTGGGCATCGCTGCCAAACTTGACGTGGGATGTCACCGCCAACTGTGCATCATTGGGCAACTTTGCAAGCAGCATTATTCGTACCTCTCCGAATTTGGACTATTGCAAAATCCACATCAACGCCCTTTCCAGCCTGGTTCAATCCTCCTTAGAGACCAACTCTACAGGAGAGCTTGGCTACGGCACGCCTCAGCAGATAGCGTCCTGGTACCTATCTGCGTGTGGTTGTGTCTCGACTGTCTCTGATGCTACTTGCGACGTTGAAACAAGCTCGAGTGCCTTGGATTTTATTGATGCAGTCCAATCAGAGCTCAGAAAATCGGCAAACATGACGTGCATCGACGAACTCCGCTGGTCTCTTGGAATCCAAGGCAACGCTGATATCGCAGGTGTTGGGGTGAGCTGAAAGAATAAGACCTTTGGGAATTGCGAAGCTAACCGCATGTTCGTACAGGTTATGGTCACTTTCTGCATCGAGGCTTGGCTCATCGTGGCTTTCTTTGTAGCCAAGGTTGTGGAGTATTATGCTGGAGACCCCACGACGAAAACCAGAAAAGACTCAGAAGACCATGTCTCACAACGCCCAGATTGGCTGGTACCAGCCTACACGAGCCTTATGAATGCTTTCGAAGAGACCTTGGCGACATTCACTCGAGCTCCGTCTTCCTGAGTCTAGGCTTAGTTACTGCCTCTATCCATACAGCCGCTGCCGCCTCTGGCAACGGACAGGACAGACAGGTTAAACAGTGGATGGCTGGCGAAAATCTCACCATATATGATTCGCAACTCTCGGCTCTGGCATCGCTATTCAGTATTCAGGTCACGTTCATGGCTAGCTTGATGCTCCAGGAAGCAGCAAGACGTCGAGGTCTGGTGATTTTGACCACTGTTGCAGTCTTGGCCCTCTTAGGGGTGCTACTTGTGACATTGGTCAGCTTAATAGTATGGCAAACCGTGAAGCTGCCCAAGGATGTCGAGCAGTTGCTCCAGGACACGCTGCAAAGTGACCGAAGGGTGAGAGTATTCCTCCAGGTGTCTGTGAGTGTCACCGTATTCATGATGGCTATCTGCAGTTTGACTGTTTTGGTAGTTTTACACATGAAAAAAGGGAAAGCCGGACAGGAAGTACCGCCAACTCCAGAAGCTGGAGAAAGCGATCCTGATTCGGATCCAAAATCTGAAGAGTATGAACTATCGTCGAACCGAACAGATGGACAGGAGAACCAGTCGCCAACTCAAATCGTCGGAGACAAAGATTGCCTGACATCTCTAAATGCTGATGCGGGAGGATTATCGTCGGGTCAAACCTCTGGACAGGGGGGACAGTCGACGTCTTCGACGGCTGCAAAGGTAAAGCCACCATCAGCTCGATTCCTCGCAGCCGAATTCCGGGTCGTGCAGATGATATTGATGGGCATGATGCTCGCGACACTCGGCATCTTCTTTGATTTTCGCGAACAGACTATCAACAGCGGCGCAGCGGGCGATCCGCAACTCGAGTGGGGCTTTGGGCAAATTGTGGTTTTGACGACCTGGGTTCCTGTGATCCTCATCTTCTGGAGTACACTCTTCTTTACACTCTTCTGTAAGTACTTGTGTTTCTTGTCATCTAAACCTACGTGTTCCAGTCGGCGAAGCTAATTGTTCGCACAAGTTGAAATTATGATAGCCCTTCGGGAGCCCACGCCACCTAGGTCTGGGGCAGACTCCAGACGTGGTATGGACCGACGATGTCACACCGCTTAAAACAAGATGTTTCGAATAATGCAAATGAAGGGGGAGCGTCCGGAGATGCTGGCTGGCCTTATGATCGGATAAGATTGTCAATGATGTACTTAAACTTTTTATACCGAACGCTCGTTTTGATTCGGAGGCGTTATATGTTTCATTTACCTCACGGCATCTCTGGCAGAGCCCTGAAGGGAGTCGAATTCATTAATATTCTATTCTGGGGCCAACGAATTCCATGTGTTCTCGATCGAAACTGATACATATATAGACTTAGATGAACGAGCATGTCAAAACCTTATCCAGTTTTTCGCTTGCTACCTGACTTGCTCACAGCTGCGACATCTCTTCCCCAAATGACGGCCAGCGCCGCGCCACCGGGCCCAACAACTGCGCTCCACATAACCAACTTCCCCAAGTCCATCACAACCTGTCCAAGGCCCTTCGTCTCATACGCCAAGTAGGCAATCCAGCTCCACGTCGCCAAGGAAGCGCAATACGTGTCCCACTGCAGCAAATCCAAGATCCCTCTCTCTAACGACATCATCTTCACCTGGGACCACGGCGAAGTAGGCCGAAGAATCTGCACCATCGCCTCGATAGCGTTCTCCGAAGCCCAGCCAGCCTTCCAGAAGACGTATCCGACGACACCGTAGGACGTCACGGCGACAACGGACAGAGTGTAAGTGTAGATTCTGCGAAAGTCATTGATCTTTATCTGCGGCCTCGACTTTGCGGCTTCAGGGACCACGCCAAGAGCGCCGATGAGTTGGGCAAAGATCAACTGCCAGATGTCGGACCAGAGGGGGAAGGCCTGCCAGACAGCGAGGAGGATCTCCTGGGTGCGCGGAGTGATGATGCTGGGGCTCGGGAGCGCTGCGAGGAGCGTTGGGATGAAGGCGCCAAAGGTGAGGGAGCCGATGACCGCGCGAGCTTGGACTGGGTCGATGGAGATTGCGGCTGCAAGTTCGTCTGGTGTCAAGGACCCTGGGATCGGGGAGGTGTAGAGGTATGCGAGGAAGTAGAGGGGCAGAGTGGCGCCGAAGGTCATGAGTTGCCAGAGCATTCCCCAGGAGGTCGTGCTGTTCACTTGTTAGGATTGGCTTCTTCTGAGGTTGTCAAGGACGAACTTACTAGGAGACCAGCCTCTCTCGGTTTCCGGCTCTCAGACCTTCAACTTGAATGAGAACATGCACGGCGAGAAGTTGGCCGGCCATGAAGATTGAGAACAAGGTAAGATTTGGGTCATTGCCGTCAAGGATGGGTTTGAAGAACCGGACGAGCATAGTGAGTAGGCTGTCCAGCGGCTTCAACGTGGTGAACGTAATCGGCTCTCCGGCAAGGGCCGACTCTGTGGAGTCCATGAGGCCATTGGTTACGGAGAGGTCGTAGATTGCGACCTTGGCTAGGTAGAAGATGGAGAGGAAAACGGCGGTGAATACTGGTCGAGACATGTTGGATATAATTATTGATGAATGAAGTTGCGATGAAGTTTTTGGTGAGGAGGAGATGGAGTCGTTTGCGGCTGATCGTACCGGATCCGAGTGGAGGCATCTTGAGGTTAATCTCACCAGGGGTCCCGGCGATCAGCTGATCGACACATTTCATCTGAAGTTGTACCCGTCCACATCCTCGGGAAGCTATTCTGTTCCCTCGGCAAGAAAAGTCATAGCATCGCACTTGATGGGCCTCATTGGCTAGATCGCCAACGCTTGAGTTGGTTGAAATGTGTGTGATGTGTCTGAAATTTGGGACTAAAAAATATCCTCCAGGCCTTTTGTGGCCTATCCTGAACGCCTTTTTGATGAATTCCTAATTACTCTGCAGCGTGATGATGCAGTAAGATTACAGTTGTATCATGCGACCCCCCCCCCCCCCCCCTTCAATACCCTTTTTCTATGATGTGCGCATTATGAGCTCGACGGCTCTGGGGATCCGGCGAAGCGGAACACGATATAAAGCAACGGCGCAATCTTTCTGAGTCATTCGGACCTCTTGCTTTCAGGCAGAGGCTGAGGGGACTCGAGCCATCCGCGCGACGCAGCATCCTTGATGCCATCGAACCAGATGTGCGCCATCTTGGCGTAGCCCGCGTCGCTGGGGTGAGTGCCGTCGACGAGATCGCTCTTGAGCGGGCCCTTGTCGGAGTGCATATCCACGAGGACGACTTTCTTGGAAATCGCCTGCTGCTCCGAGGCGAGAGTCTTGTACTGCTCGTTAACCTTGAGGACGCACGCCTCCGTGTTGTTGTTCCCGTTCACGAGGAGGGTAGAGAGGACAATGGTGGCGCGCTTGGAGGTATCCCAGATGTAGTTCATCATCTCAAGCATGCGCACGTGCGCGTTATCCGTGTCGTAGCTCTGCGCGCAGTCGTTTGTGCCGGCGTTGATGAGGACCAGGTTCGGGAGCGTCTCCGGGACGGAAATTTTGGCCTTTGCGAGGACCTGCTCGATGCGGAAGCCAGACCAGCCCTCGTTGTCGTTGTCTTCCATTGTGCCGTTGGGGTGGTTACCGACCATGTCAACAGGGTTGCCGTCGGCGACGAGGAGGTCGCGGAGAACCTTGCGGTAGCCGTTGCCATCGGAGGAGGTTAGGCCGTAGGTGATTGAGGCGCCGAGGGGCATGAGGCGGAGGGAGACGTTGCCGCCGACGAGGATATTGAAGTCGGCTCTTGGATGCAGTGCCGGGGCTTGCTGCGCGGGGGCGGCGTAGGCTTTTAGTGGGTTAGTGACGATGCCGTAAGAGATTTGGAGTAGAAGTCCGGGGCATTATAGAGGATGGACTCACCAGCAGAGGTTGACGCCAATAATGTGGCTGCCCACCGGAGGAGGAAGACGCTTGAGTACATGATTGCGGTGAGATATCTGATGCCGAGGTGATGGACAGCGACGTGAGGTGTTCTCAGGTGTGAGTAAGATGAAAGATGTCTTCGACTGCTACGATGAGACACTACACACACGGGTTCATGATGAGACGCATGGGCAGCGGAGAGGTTAAATAAGTATACAAGAAGATGCCCGAGTGAAAGGATCGGATACCCAGGGCCAAGGAAATAAGCTCACATAGGCTGGGAAACGGATCATGTTGTGGCAAGGACACCCCCTTGGTGCGACTCGGTACCTTGCTTTGCCAGCTTGCCTTGCTTCTTTTGCGCTGTACGAAGCTGCACACTGCAAGCTCTAGTTCATCGAGAAACAACCCCCCCCTTTCGGAAGGATCAGACGGCTCATTGCGATGTTCATTGGACCAATGCCGCGTTGGGAAAAGTGAGGTGGGCGGGACGAAGAAGGGGTGAGGGGGGTGTGTGACACTAAGGCGTGCAAGGACGCGGGGGTGGTCGGACAAGGATGACGGAGGGGAGCAGTGTCTGGATGACATGTCAAGGCGAAGGCGATGCCGAGGGATAGGATTATGTCAATGAGTCCGAAGGACGGGATGATGGGTAGGGCGAGTGACGGGAGTAGGACGTTGGGAGTTCGGGGAGGATGAATCAGGCGGCGGCGGAGGTATGGCGGTGCTACTTTCAACTGTCGTGATCCTCCTATGAGTCTCGTGAGTTATTAGTGTGAGATGAGATGAGGTTGAGTGAGAAAAGAGATTGAGTGTTGCGTGGACGGAGTGAAGAGCACCAAGGTCTCGTTCCTTCGAACGTTGCCATCCATGATCCATCTGCACCCGTCTATGATCTATTATCCGCAAAGAAGAAAGCCGTAGAGCAAGGTTCCGACGTTAGAATGTCTCTCTTCTGGAAGATACGGCACAGCAACACGGCAGAAGAGTCAAGAGAGTTCCATTTCTTTGCATCTTTACATCTTAGTGTCGGTACCTGAAGGTGATTTTTACACCCCGAGTGCAACTCCCCGCAGAAAATTGAGTGATCTCTCGCAGGGAAAATGAGTCTTGTCCCGCATTAGGCACCTGCCATTCTGTTTCACCAACCCTGTCTGTCTTCCACCAAGGTTCTATTGTTACCGCCATCTCACTTTTTCTCATTCGGTCTTCGCGATCAATCCTTGTATTAAGCCAACAACTTATTCTCCGTGGCTGGTGCTAATGGGATCGTACAGAGTATGAGTGGTTAAGTGAGATTCACGTAAGAAAAACAAAGAGACGCATAGGAATAATAAGACGGCTGGGTTAGGGTGGTGAGAGGAGACTATTCGGTTAAGAGTGCTAATGACCTCGCGCCCCATAGGTGAGAATTTGGCTTCCCCGGCGGAGTCTAGAAGAAGATCCCTCATGGCTGCTTTTGGCGTCATCCCGCAGGCTTCAAGCATCGAACACATCCCTGACCACCCTCTTTTCCCTCCTCATCCCAATCCTCATCGGCCAGTCGCCGCTGCATCTTCCTTTACCCGGGAATAGCTGTGGCTTTACACGCGGAGTCCCTCCGAACTCTTGGTCCCAGCAAATAACTTCCCGACGGCGGCTCAGTTTCACTCTTACAAACACAGCCGCACGCCGCGCTTCTCCAGCCTCTTCCTCTCATCTTCCTGTTTCCCTACTTACTCTACTTGGTGCAGAAGCCTCTAACGCTCCGAGCACACGTCAGATATTTTAAGCCCGGACTCATGTCCCCGACTCCTGCGTCAAGCTTGATCTCGTTCCTGCATCTACCCTCCTGTCCCACCGTTTCGTGCCTCTTCATTGCGCTGCTCGGATTTCCCTAGTCCGAGCCCACTTCTCTGAATTCCAGGGCCTCTAAGAGCTCTTCAAGGGGCCGGCTGCCGACAACGCGAGTGATTCGGTTCAATGACGGAAACATATCCCAGCCCGGGGCGCCGTCCGGACTATTGATGTGCGTTTACGAAAGTTGACAGCGCCCGCGCTCGACAGCTCGCCAGAGTGACAGAAATGCAGAGAGACGCATGTCCCCTGCGGTCGGTCCGAGTCCCTGACGTCAGGGATCGACAAATGCCAGCAAAGACGCATAACAGTTGAGAGTGTTTTTTTTTCTTGTCGCGTGGTAGACCACCAGCGATTGCGCACTAAATCTGAATGAGGCAGATCGGCGTTCAAAGTTGATCGCCTCAAACGATCTCACTTGAGAGTAATGCGGCATCGCAGTGTTCGCAGTAGGTGTGAGAAGCCAAGTCTTGAAGGGCCGGCAGAGATGTGCCAAGACTGTAACCATGGTCTTTCACGTGAAGCGACAACAGATCTGTTATGCTTTGCTGATGAGAGTCGGAGTATTTGTGTGTGAAAACGGATTGCATACTAAAATGCGACACAGCATTTTATTGAAATCCTACCCTGCAGCGCTGCTCTCCAGGGAATCGGTCAGCTTCAGCCTTCACCGAAGGACTTCACCGAGGCCGTCATACTTACCGAGATGTCTCCGTGAAACCTATTCTGAACCTAGAACCTCTGTCTAGACAGCAGCCTTCTCTTTCAATAAAGCTCCTTATCTGCTACTGGAGCTTCCGAAGTCATCTGATGAAGCCCAGGCATAGGTTCATCTCCATCTCAAAAGACTCCACCGTTGTGAATGACCGGTGACAAGTGACTATGGTCTCATCTCAACTTATCTGCGGCCAATAACCGTTGGCTCCGTCACACCCTCCGACGGCCCGCTGCAGTGTTCCGTCTTAGTGCACGTTTGGTTTTACCCATATTTTTGACACGAACACCATCAATGTGATCGGTTCGCGATATCAAAATGCAACCAGGAGCCTGGTTTCGTAGTCCCTTATGACCTGATGCTTATCACGTCTTCAGGCCCGTGGGTTGTTGTTCCTCCCCAGCCATCCCAGCCATGAGCGATGGGTTGGTCTTGATAAATGATGGCTGTCCTTGAGTTACGGGCTTCAAGTGTACAGATCCTTTCACTCAAAGTGTGAGGTTTCATCCATCGATCTGACTCAATATCTCGAAAATCACAGCCGAGATCAGAGTAGATAGCGAGACGACTGCCGAAAGCAACCATGTCGAAACCTCTCCCCTCCCGTCCAAGTAACGACGACGACGACGAGAACTCCCCGCTTCTACCCCGCGATGCCTCCTCCTCTCCCCACAACGAAGCCGACGCCGACCCCAATCTCTCGACGTTGCTTCTCTTCCGTCGCGCCGTCGGCATAAACACCCATCTCCAACCCGCCGACGACTGCGACCTCGAAGCAGGCCGTACCTCCGCCCTCGGCATCTACGCCTCCACCATCGCCGCCCATCGCCGCTTTCGAACCCTCCGCATCCTCGCTACCGTGCTCATCTACAGCTGCCACGCCACGCAGATTGTCGTCGGTGGCGTGCTCACGTGCCTGGGGCCCAAGGCGGGCGTCCACCGGAAGAGCATCACGGTGCTCGGCGGGGTGAATACCGTTGTCGCCGGCGTGTTGACGTGGATGAAGGGGCAGGGGATGCCGGATAAGTTGAAGGCTAAAGAGATTGAGTTCCGAAGGTTGCAAAATTGGATTGAGGAGACAGAGGCGTTGATGGTTCTCGGGACGGTGGGCGGGACGAGGGAGGAGGTTGGGGGGTTGGTTGAAGCGGCGTATCGGAGGTGGAATGCGGCGAACGAGCGGGGAGAGGACGGAGGGCCCGGGGAGGAGTATGAGGATGAAGGGAGGAAGGGTAAGGGGTCGACGATGAGGTGGCTTCGCGGGCGGTGATACCCAGACTTCTGGTGCGTGATCTCACTAAATTCATGCGTGTTGTGAGCAGTTGATTGAGGTCATGAAGACTAGGGTCTTTGAGTCATATCAAAGTTCAATTTACATCTTATACCAACTTGTCATGTTTCACAGCTTAGCTTTTACAGCGACAGCATCACTCCCGTTCTGCTGATTTCTCTGACCCCTTCTCAACATGGGAATATCATCCGTCACGCCGGGAATCTCATTCTCACACCACTCATGCCCACCAAGACCACTCGCCAGTATCGCACCAAACCCTCCTTTCTGACCTTTTTCCCCGATAAGAGCCTCTTGGTCAAGCGTCCCAAGACAGATACTACCCCACTTCTCCCCTTCGCTGCGATAGTAAAGCCACGAGCCGCATTCTGTACAGAATCCTCGCTTCGCCATGGGCGTGATGCTGAACTCGCGCAACGTCGAAGTGCCCTTGGGAGACGTCCACTTCATGGGCCAGGGAACGCGGTGGAAGGCGACGAAGAGGGCACCAGATTGCTTGCGGCACTGTGTGCATTGGCACGTCTGGGCGTTGGCGGTGAAGTCGTGGGTGTCTGAGAAGGTGGCTTCGTAGCGGAGGGCGGCGCATAGGCAGCCTCCAGCTACGGTCGTGGGTTTTGGTCCGAGCGAAGAGGACGAAGCCATCGTTGGGCGGTGGTGGGTGGTTTTGGATGGATATCGTGGTGTTGAGTTGTGGAGTGAGATGTGAGTTAGTTGCGACCGGTGAATGATGAGGTCTCAGACTCTAGAGGCTCCAGATTTTGCAGTGAATTAGGGTTATTGAGATTTTCAATATGAGAATATGAGAGTCGAAGTCTACGTGCTTAAAAATGTCAAAGGGCGTGAGTTTTGTATTATGTTTTGTCAGCGTCTACGTCAGAGTTGTCATCGACGCCCTTCGCGATGCGGGAGCCGATAGCAATAAGAGCCATAGTGAAGCCCCGCCTTGACTTGACATCGCCAACAACTCAACCGCAACATGATTGGACTAGGGATTTGAGTATCATTAAGTCGTGAATTGCATGTACAATCTGTCTATGAAGTCTCTCATACCTCTGTATCGTACCTCTTTTGTACCTGTAGAACCATACCTTAACCTAGTTAGTTTACTGTGCCATTTCCAAGTGTCGATATCTTCTTCTCCGTCTCAGTAGACAACATAATTTACCGGTCCTCCTCATCCTCGGCAACCCAGTACGCCTCAATCTCAACAATACACGTCCGCGCCGGGACTGTAACAGCAATGGGAAACCCGCCATAGTCCGGATCGTCATTAGGCATGATCAAGAACTCTCCACTGCGCGTCTCATCACCATTGAACACCCGCAGCGTGCGTAGCTCTCCCTTCTCATCGACTTCCTTCTCAGCAGCCGCAAGAATTCCAGTAAACGTCGCCTCCGGCCGCACGCTCTTGAAGTGGACGTTGAAGCCACGCCCGACGGCGAGGAACTTGGCGTCGCCGAGGTGGATGACCATACCGCCGCCGGGACCAGGCTTACCAAACACGAAAGCCCGCTCGACGATAACCTCAACGTCGCCAATCACCTTGGTCCACCTCTCGCCCTTGCCCGCCGTGTTAATCTCCTCGTCAAAGAAGAAACCGAACCTATCCTCGGGCTTCGCGGCGAGCAGGTACGGCGCCACCTGCGCAAGCAACTTGAACTCGCGTCCGACGACCTCCGGGCCGGTATCGATGCCAAAGGGGCTCGCGCCGAGGGCGCCGTAGGTGCCGTAGGACAACCACACCCGCCGGGCACCATTCTCGTCGCGCCGCTGCTCGGGGATGAAGAGCGGGTTGCCCTGGGCCGTGTAGTCTTTGCACACGGCCTCGTAGTTGTGGAAGTAGAGATCAGGCGCGAGGAAGTCGAGGGATTTTTGGGCGGTAAAGATTGTGTTGTGGCGCCAGATGTCGAGGACGTGGGGGCAGGGTCCGCCGGAGGGGTAGACTCCAGGTTCCGCACCGCCGCCGACGACGATGGGGACGCCGCGGAGGTCGAGGTCCGATGGGTCGTCGAAGTTGAGCCAGGTGTTTGTGTAGAGGGGGATATCGTATTCCTTCTTTCCTGCGGCGGCGACGCGGCCGACGTAGGAGGAGATGTGGTAGGCCATGAAGGCTTCGTCTGCTGATGGGCCAGAGCCGAAGACTGATATCCATGAGTGCGAGCCCGATGCGGGCGGATCGGCGAAGCGGGCCTTGAATTTGGGGTGTAGATCGGCCGACTTCTCGTTGAGGTGACGGAGGAGGGCCTCGGGTACGGGCGTGGCAAAGGCCTTGTCGGCGCGGCGAGAACGGTCGCGGGAGTCGCCCAGCAGACCCGTCTCGTTCTCGACCTGGATCATGAGAACCGTGTTGTGCTCGGCGTCAACCTGGGCCAGGTGCTTGCACAGCGCGGCAAACGCCCTCGAGTCCGCCGCGCACCCTTCCTCGCTGAGCGGCGTAACCATCTCAATGGTCCTCTTGACGCCCCCCTTCTCGAGAACTTGGACGCGCGGGAAGCGCTTGGTGTCTCGCTTCACCCAGTGCGGTGCGTATGTCGAGATGCCGTTTTTGTAGGTGCCGAACCATAGGAGGACGAGGTGCATGTCGTGCTCCCGCGCGCCGTCGAGCACGGCGTCGAGCTCGGAGAAGTTGAAGTTGCCCTCGGTGGGCTCGATGTCCTCCCATGTCACGGCGCCGAGGAGGGTGTTGATGTGGTTTGACTTCATGGCGGGCCAGACCTCGGACATGAAGCGGGCGGAGGAGAGGGAGGAGTTGTGCAGCTCGGCGGAGAGCATAAGGAAGGGCTTGCCCTTGAGGTAGAGCTGGGTGTTGCCATTGGTGCGGCGGAGGTGAGGGAGTTGCGTGGCAGGGGATTCTGAGGCTGTCATGATGGGCAATAGAGAAAATGAGAGAGTATGTGTGTTGAAAGTGAGCTGTGACAAAGACAGCGTGAGATCAGAGAGGAATGAGAAGAGAGGGAGGTTAGAGAGCTGTAGATCGCGGATTTGAAACTATCGTCGCTCGCCGCCGGGTTGAAATAATGTCAGAATAATTTCGAGTCAACATTATCCCGAGGAGCTTTCTCTATCAACGGACCGCTTTTCAGAGGGTCTCTAGCCGGCGCCAGCTCCGCCTCGGAGAATCCGAAGATGACTTGCTGTATGGTTGTCCGGTATGGGTTCTATCTGCTTTCGGCAGTCGAAACGTCCGCCATTCGTCCGCTTCAAGAGGTTTGAATGGAGAAGAGGATCCATAACTGCCGCGGGATGTCAGACGGGAGTTTGCAGATCGCCTGATGGGCCGAGTTCGATCCCGTTAGATGGCTTCGGATATTCTTCGCAACTCGACTTACAGCTCGGATATTCTCTATTCTGTTACTATTGTCCCACGTTTGAGTCCACGTCAAAGTGGGTAATCATCCAAAAGACCAGATGGTTTCCCCGCATTCCTAATGACGCATTTTGTTGGAGAATTTGAAAGCTGAAAGTAGACTCTTTGATCCGAGTTCTAGGAACTCAACATGCGGTGGCTTCGGATATACTTCGCATCTGTTGAGGCTTTGAGTCTCCTCACAACCCACAGTCTCCAGAAATAAAGTCTCCGCAACCCGCAACCATGCCGGATGGATTGTGGATGTGTGGAGTCACAACGTTCCGTTCGGGCTGCCGCCGAAGAGAGTTCCCGCCCACCATCAAATCCTCCCAGGGAGGAACATCATGGGACGTTTCGGTTCATGCATGAGGTAGTCATACTAGTTTCGCGGGTCAAGCAAGTACTTCGGGTCATTTAACTTGTCTTTTATTTCATTGCCTATTACTCTGCGGACTCTCGATCCCAGGTAAGCCAGGCCAGCAGTCAATATCATCCAGCTTCCGCAACAACTTCTCCAGCTTCAGCCTAGCGCCTTCGCTCACAAGAGCGCCGTCGCCAACGTCCATCTGCTCCATGTATGCCGCCCCGCAGTCCCTCAGCTTCGGGATCAGGCTGTTGCCGTTCTGCTCCAGGACGTGCTGCGGCATGTGGTACAGGATCTCGAGTAGGTCGTCGACGATGCGTTGATGTTCCGCCGCGCGCGTCTTGACGGTCGACCCGAACTTTTGCAGCAGGTTGGAGCGGATGTTGAGGCTCGTGATGAAGAGGTTCGCGATTTGCGTGTCGTGGCCCTCTGTAATGTGACAGGGGCGGGACAGACCCCCGCGCCAGCGTAGTTCAGGTGGGAAGTTGTCAATAATTGTTTGGATTTTGGCGAGCCAGTGTTTGAGGGCCTCTTCTTGGCCGCCGTACAGGCTTATGGGCGCGGTTTGCGCCTCGTGCCATATCAGGAAGAGGTCGCTTAGCTGGTTCAACCCCGGGACGTAGGAAGTTGTGTCGCCATGCCACGGCGGTAATTCCGCGTGGGACAGCTGTGGCCCTGTCTCGAGTTGCGAGTCTGTCAGGGGTAAAGGGCGCAGGTGCGCGCGGTTCTCTTGATGAGAGACGATACTTACGGAAAGTCTCCCGAATATGTCTGCACTGCTGTTCAGATGATGGAAAACGTCAACCGAAGACTGTTCCCCATCTCGACTTTTTCAAGGTTGTGTTTGGTGTTTGTGTGTGGGGGGGGGGGGGGTAAGACAGGGGTAAGTGCATTCATCCATGGGGGCAAACGTACCAATACGCCGCAAAGATCAGCCAAAAGAGCCTCTTCAGCAGCTGCTGCTCGGACATATCCAGGTCCGCCATGCGGTAGTACGCAAGGAATCTCGCCCCCGCTGCCGCCTCGGACATACCATGGAACGAACCCATGTCCCCCAGCCCGTCCTCGTTCATCGAACTGGCCGACGTGCCGATATTGTACATTGCGACGCACCAGTCCAGCGAGTAAACGGGCTTCCTGAGGCCGTGGTCGAGCAGGTGCTGCTCCTCGATGAAGTCCAGGCACCGCTCGACCGTGACGGGGCTGTAATCAACCCTCCGCAGCGTCGCCACTGTCGCGGCGCAGACGCTCACTACGAGGGCGCAAAAGGTGCGGTCGGTGTTGGCCTCGCCGGCTTTGAGGCGGTGCAGGAAGCGACGCCTGTGGAGGACGGGTGCCAGAGCGTGGACTTTCTCGAACCAGTCGTGGAGCATCCGCTTGATGAGGTCTTCGGGGGCGAAGAGGGCGAGACGGTTGCTGTGATGGGATCCCGTGGTGGTGTTGGGACTCGGCGCGCCTGCGATGATGGCGCGCAGGTCTGTTGCTGAGTGAGGCGTGGCAGTTGTGTGAGAATGAGTGTGAGTATGAGACTGGGGTGTCTGTATGTGGGTCGATGATGAAGCGGCGGGTGAGGTTTGGTAGGCGAGACCTACGTCTGGTGAGGTGATGTCTGATAATGACGGACTCCCCTGGCTGGCGGCTGATGTGGTAGTATTTGCTCGCTGTTGTTGGAGTTGTTGCTCGTGTTGTTGCTGCCGGTGTTGCTGTGCGTGTCTGTCATGGTTGGTTAGTAAGTGAGCTCTAAGCTGGAGAGCATCATCCTATGATGAGATGAGATGCAGGGCCGGGGCTCGGACGGACTTGTTTGGTGGTCCTCTCCTCCGCCTCGGCCGTTCATGAGTGCATTGTATGTCGAGAAATGTGCAGCCTTGGCACCGGCCCTCTCCCGAACCGTAGAGACACTGCCGATCCAGTCAGTTCAGCAGAGTCCGGGGGTTGAAGGTGGTAGAACTTCGGGACGACAGAGACAGGGGATAGAATTGACCAATGTTTCCCATGATCAGATGTTTACAAAAATCTCTGTACCCAAAGATGAACACTAGTCATCATCGGGAGAGGTATCGTGAGACATCAAGGGCTAGGCTTTGTTGCTGCTCACTCTGACTTTGCGGGACCGACATGCGTCGCAGGCGTTCTGATTCCTGATAATCTTGGCCCTCGGCCGCCCACTGGCTGGTGAGGCGGGAGACGTCGAAAGTGGGGAGCGAGCCCCGTTTCCGTCCGGTGGTGGTCCAGATGCTCGGTCGATCTCCATGATGTGTGGCTTGGGTGGTTGGTTGGTAGACGGCAGTAGTCTTTGTCAGACCTCGGTCCCGAGTCCGCTCACGCTGACGAGTACCAGATTAGATCGGATCAGACAAGCTGCTGCCACTCATCAAACATGCAAGCTGCGGGTGTGTGTTCGATCCCCCGGATAAACCTCTCAGAATCTGGGGAGGGAGCAGATGATCCAATGGTGGAGAAGACAGCTTTCAGCTGTTTTGCCTGGTTGGGTGGCGTTGGGAACATGAAGCTTCCAAGCTGACGATGTGGTAGGCTGGAATGCGGAGAGGATGGATCAACGCCAAAACGTGGCCGCATGGGTCATGATTGTCCGGCGATATTCCCGCGTTTGTTCTGCCCAGAAGAGACCCAAAGAAACAAAGATGTTGGATACTTGGAGTAGTATGGGGAAGAGAGAGTGTGAGAGAGGCAACGGTCTCGGGGGGGGAGGGCAGAGGGACATCCGAGGAGAATTGTCGGGAGTTGTGTATTTTGAACCTTCTTTCAGGGCGCTCTGCGTCGCAGAAACGTCGGATTTACTCCTTCTCTCTGCTCCTCTCTGCTCCTCATTGCTCTCGTTAGCCTCCATGTGCTCGGGAGAAACTTGCAGGGAAAAGCCCCGCACTGGGGCGTTACGAATCGAGTCAGGCCCAGACTCTGAAGGGCATAGCTCCAGACCTTCCAAGAACTCTATCATTCCCTGCTCTCTCATGCTCTTTGCTGGTGTTCGAAAAGAAGTGCACTGTGATTCTCTTCTGCGGATGCTTGTCGCATGCCGGGTACCAAGTCCAATTCTGTCACTTGGTTGGTTGGTTGAGGTTACCTTTTCCCCCAGATAATCCATTCTTCAGTCATTTTCATGGGGCTAGCCCATCCGGACCGCTGGGTTGGAGGAACTTGAACGAATTTCTCGTCCCTGACTAACTAATTGACCACGCCATGCCTACCTAACCTTACTCCTAGGATGTGCCACAGACCAGACCTTGACATGAACAGGCGGCGAACAGCTTTCCCCGGAACCTAAATGTGGAGAAATAATATTGGATCTTGTACTTCCCGTTCTCTTCTCTTCGTCCAGTCTTTTGTCCTGAGATTCCCGCAACCCACCCCCATGGGGACTTGTCGCTCCAATGAACATCTAGTGTCTCGTGCTCCTATTTCTCGGTACTGGCAAAAACTGATACCCGCTTTCTCTCAGTGACGCCTCATAGGGAGAGGAGTAGTCCATCTCCTTGGGTTGTGTGGCCTGTTTGCTCGGCCGCTTTCGAGCCGTCATCGGATACAGCACCCTCGGTCTTCGCCTCGGGGGTGGGCTGTTCAGTTCGAAAGCGGGAAGGGGTCACGGCACGGTTAGTGGGCGATGAGCAATATCGAGATGCCATTCCCCCAGAACCATCTACCGATTTATTATAAGTACACTTGCCCCGGTCCCATAACCCAGGAATCATGGGATGCAGCAAGCCGGCAACTCGGTAGCGACAACCAGGCCCTTCAACTCTTCTACTCCGAGTGTTGCATTTTTCTTTCTGACTGATATTATTTTCAACTTGCAACGAAGTCATGGATCTCAAGCAGAAGGAAAGTCACGGCGTTGACCACGTCGACGTTGCAACTATGGACGATGCGCATCTGCAGCCACCCGAAGCATCGACGCTGCCGTGGTTCAAGCAGACAGAGTTGAGGAAGCTTTACTTCATGATGGTCTTTCTCTTCCTCGGCTCGACGACACTAGGTTACGACGGAAGCTTGTTGAACGGACTCCAGACCATGCAGTCATGGCAGACCTGTAAGTTGAATGTTATGGTTGTGGCATGTTGTGATCCAGCATCTCCCAACCTACACCCATCATCTATGTTCTCACCGTATGTGTACTGACAAACTTTTCGTACAGTCTTTGACCACCCCTCAGGAAGTCGACTCGGAATCTTCGGTGCTATGCCAGGCTTTGGCGGCCTCTTCGTCCTTCTCTTCGCGCCCTACATCGCCGACGGCCTCGGCCGAAAATGGGGCACAGCCATCGGCTGCATCCTCGTCATCCTGGGCGCGCTGCTGCAGTCTTTTCCATTCGGGTCTGGAAGGGACGCTATGTACCTCATCGGCCGCTTTATCATGGGCGCGGGATCTAACATTTCCAACGGCACATGTCCCCTTCTCATCACGGAAGTGGCACACCCCCAGCATCGCGGCAAGGTGACGACGCTCTATAACACGCTCTGGTACTTGGGTAGTATCATTGCAGCCTGGTCTTGTATGTACCCAGTACTCTTGGTCCCGAACCATGACATCTGACTAATGATTGGCGTAAAACAGGCTTCGGAACGCTCACAAAACAGTCCGGCGATCTACAATGGCGACTTCCTACAGGATTGCAATGTATGATGCCGGGCATTCAGTTGATGGCCATCTGGTTCCTCCCCGAGAGTCCGAGATGGCTGATCAGCAAGGGCAAGGAGGCCGAGGCGAAGAAGGTTCTCATCAAGTACCACGGCAACAACAACGAGAACGACGAATTCGCGCATTGGGAGTTTGCCGAGATTACTAGCACTCTTCGGCTTGAGAAGGAAGCTTCAGCGCAGAGCGGTTGGATGGAACTCGTCCGGACTCCTGGAAACCGCAAGCGTTGCGGGCTCATTATCGCGACGGCTATCTTTTCCCAGTGCAGTGGTAACGGCCTGGTGTCATACTATGTGAGTCTTTGGTATCCCAAGGTAGCCTGTAGCGGCTCTCAGAGTTTTGGGCTATGCACCTGCAGAGACCTTGCACACAAGCTGAAGAGCATTGAATCTAATCGAATTGTACAGCTCGCCGTTATTCTGGGCACGATTGGCATCAAGGAGTAAGTTCTGCGTTCTCTACCATGATTGTAGCCAACAAAGTATCTAACGACGGGTTTCAGCTCTATCACACAATCATATATCAACGGTGGCCTAACCATCTGGTGCTGGCTCGTCTCGCTCACGGCGGCCTTCTTCGTCGACCGCATCGGACGCCGAGTTCTCTTTCTCTTCGCCGGCGTTGGCATGCTCATCTCATTTTCCATCTGGACAGCGTGTAGCGCAGTATACGCCCAGACCCAGTCCTCATCGGCCGGCATTGCCGTTGTGGCCATGATCTTCGTCTTCTACGGCGTCGCGGGAGCCGCTTGGCCCGGTCTGACCGTTTCCTACACCGTCGAGATCTTGCCGTACAATATTCGCGCCAAGGGCCTTACTTTGTGTTTCTGTTTTACTGCGCTTAGTGGTGTCTTCAACCAATGGGTAAACCCTCTAGGGCTTGAGCAGCTGGAGTGGCACTTCTACTTCGTTTATATCGCCATGTAAGTGTCATTGATGGGTTTTGCCATCCTGGATTGAAGCTAACGAAGCGGTATCTACAGTCTGGTAATTGAGTGTTTGGTCATATACTTCTTCTTCGTGGAGACGAAGGGTCCTACATTGGAGGAAATCTCGATGCTCTTCGACGGCAAAGATTCTGCGGCTGGAGTCGCGAGGGTTCACGCTCAGGCAAAGGTTGAAGAAGTTGAGAAGAGAGAAAGCGCATAAGCATAGCTCCTCAAACTGATGGAGGAAGTAAGAAAACAGTGTAATTGGAAGCCAACATTCACGTTAAGCTAGAATCTACTGGGATGGCTTGAAAACGTTTCGCAGTCCAGTGACGCTACCAGCTCCAAAGACGTGAACGTGACAAGATCCATACATACTACGCCATGCGCCATACATACCTCAGTCTGAACTCCGGTAAGCCCCTGCGATCTGGGGTGCGAGGCATTGCCACGAGCAGATTCAACCAATGATTGCATTTTCAGCAGGTTTCTTATCAGATCTGACTGCTCCATAGTGATCACAGATATTCTCCTTCGCAAGCTGTGCCTTTGAGTCGAAGCATGTGATGGAGATTTCATTCTGACCACTCACAAGTCCCTGTGCGGGCCTACTGGTCAGCAATGGAAGCTTTGAAGAAGTTTGCGCGGGAGTGTTGTAGATAGTTTGGGCTAGTCTCGGAACCTTATTCGGTTTGCAGCATGCTTGCAGCACCTTAGTTGTCGGTCGATACAATGCCACCTTGGATCTTACAGCTGTACCTGACGATCTTTGTGATAGCTGAGATACGCTCCACTTTCGACGAGGTGTATCACGTCAGGTTGGTTTCATCCTGACGGGCGAAAAATATGGTAGACCACTGCTCAGTGACGCTGAAATCACTGGTCTAGTTTGATTCGGAAATATTTATCAACAAGTGGAAGCCATAGTATTGCTCTCCACTCTCAGAAATTCCAATCTTCGTTCCTTAGCGTACGTTGGGTAATAAAAGTACGAGTACACGGGGCAGCGCTAAATTTTCGAACTGAGGACATGAATGTTATAGATCTCATACGCAACTCTCGGTACAGTATCACCTACCTACTTCCCCGTAGACAAGTAAATCGCGGGCAGATGCTCTGCCCCTTTCTATATTTCTACACGTCATTCTTTATTACAGCCAGATTATGCTTAATTTCTCGATTTCTTCATAACTGGTGGTACATAATACACTATTGGAGGGAATTGTTTTGCCTGGTCAATCTTGGCAACGACGTAGCGGGAAGGCTCCCCAGCAAGTACCCTGAGTAACCTGATGTAAGAGTTCGCGATGCTGAAAGGTTAGGGCAAAGACAAGCCAACGCGGACGAGACTTGGCTCGCAGGGTGCCAAGTTCCGTTCCATTGTCTCTAGTGGTGGCAATGAAGGAAGCGAGTCCCTGTGCCACTTGGGACACATGGCACACAGGGCTTGGCAAGCAACCATTATCTCACATCACGACGCCACATTTTCCAACTTTCGTCTACGACATTTGCCAGTCCTCGATTTGCCCTTGGGTAAACATTTTTGTACCTTCGATCTGTTCACATCAGCCATGCCACGATGACCAACTGGGGATGGTTTCTCACAATGATCGTACCCTAAGGTTGCCACGTTGAAGCCGTTCTTCTTCCGTGGAAAAGATTAAGGAATTCGCTTTCAGACGGGAGTTTTTGAAGATATGACGGACCATTTTTGATTCTGAGACCGAGCACCAAGAATCAGCTGATATCAGGTGATGCAGAAGGACTTGGATGAACGGATAACTGCCAGATCCTTCAGACATGACAACCATCTCCGTCCCCGCATCCCCAACGACGCCAATTTTGATGTGTCTCCCCCGCAAGATCGCCAGCCTCGCTGGAAGGCATCCAGACTTCGACCCGTGTAGCCAAGCCTTTCTTTTCCCGGGGAATATCTCACCTCTCTTGTTTCCCCAAAGATGATGGGCGGGGTGTGGGTCCGGGGTTGCGCCGGCTGGCCGGAGCACAGCCTGGCGTTCGCCAGACCGCTCAAGCGTGGGCATCTCAACGAACGCCAAGCTTTGCCAAGGGGCTTGTAAGCCCATCCTCGAGCAGTGATTCACGGGAATTTTGAACTTCAATCCTCCGTTGCATCCTTTCCTACATGTTCCCTTTCCCATACGTATTTTGACGATCTAGTAGGGTAGCACCAATGACGGGGTTGGATGTCAGCTCTTGGAGCTATGTCATCCATCCACTACGCAGGTTGGAGAGCTCTGGGAGCTTAGGACTGAGAACTGGGAGATATGAGGCAAAATAGATATAAGGAAGCTCGAGGGTCTACAAATACTCAAGTTACATCGAATAGTGGAAAACGTTCTCTCAGGTTCTCAATTGACCGCAGAGAGTTTTATCAGGCTCTTTGACCATCTCGAAACTACCTGGACCCTTCATCAAGATCTTTGCAAATCGCAGTCAACATGAAGATCACCAGCGCCTCAGCCTTTTCTCTCCTATTTTCTCTGGCTCAATCTGCTGCCATAGAGCGTCGCCAGCAAGGAGATGGTCCAGGCGGATCCGCAGATGCGACGCAAGGCGACCTTGGTGAACGGCCACCACCGCGATTCCCATTTCCCGTAACCAAGTTCCCGGTTCCGAACGAGACTGTCGTCCTTAAAGAAGCCATGTATATCCTACCTGGTCAGGTCTTTGACGGTGGCATGAAGCGTTACGAGCGTGTTGAAGGTAGCTGTAACGAGCAAGCTGGTATGTTCGACCCCGGTACGATGTTCTTGTAAATAAAGAACTTCTACTGACTCCGTTCACCACATCAGAGGGCACAGATGCCGACGCGGTCTTCAATCTCCTCCCTGGCTCGACGATCCGCAATGTCATCATTGGCAAACACCAGGCGGAGGGTATCCATGCATTAGGTGACGCGTGGGTCGAGAATGGTGGGACAGTGTGCTTACTTTAGAAGTACCAAGCTGATTGTGTGACAGTGTGGTGGGAGGATGTTTGTGAGGACGCACTCACCTCGAAGGGCTTGAACACCCAACTTAGAGTGATTGGTGGCGGTGCCCGCAATGCAACTGACAAGGTGAGTATTTCTATCTGCACCGTACTGCGTAAGAAGATTGCTGACTTTTCTCGAAGATCTTCCAAGACAACTCACTTGGCGGGAAGTACAACATCACCGGCTTCTATGCCGATGGATTCGGAGTTCGTCAAGCCTCTCTGCAATGTATGAGACATCCTACTAATAACATACTTCAGACTTTCTATCAATCATGCGGTAATTGCTTGAACCAGTCAAAGCGAAATGCCACTATCCAGAATGTGATTGCACTCAATGGCAACAGGATGGGCATCGTGAGTACCCGATGATTATGCGTCGGTCGTTGACATGCAGCTAATCTCCCATTATCAATAGATCAATCCCAACTACGGCGACGAGATTCGCATCAAGAACACTCAGCTGAAAGGATTGAAGGTGATGGTCGACAAAGAGATCGCAAACAACATGCAACTCGTTCCCATCACGGTTGGCACAGGCCCAGATCAAAAGTATGCCCTGTACAACGAGACGAGAGACGCTATCACCGAGTGGGGGGGAACGGTGGAGAACGCATACGAGCCCGAGGAGCCATATGAGTGGCTTGAGGCTTACTGGCCGGATGGATTCAACTGATTGCTTTAGATGCGACATGGCTTAAGGCCGACTTTGATGCGGTGCTGGAGGCATGGCACTGGTGATCAATATCCTTGCTAATTCTCCCAAATAATTCGATACATAATATCAGAAGATGAACAGTTATCTGATTTATGCTTGTTCGCGCTGCAGTCTGGTTATGGGAGTTTCTCGATCTCTCTGAAGACCGAGTCTCATCGCCGAGGTCCGGAAGCCTGACCACCCCGGCCCGGAGTGACCCACTGAATCCGGTACCCACCTCGCCGGCACGGCTCCCGGGTTATTGCACCATTGGTGAATTTGGATGCCATGTGAGGCGAAAAGAGACTAGGAGAAGCTGAAGCAGCCGCAATTGAGTCTAATGATTGCATCTTCTCATGCAATTATCATGAATAGAACCTAGTTTGTCGGGGAGATAGACATTGAGGCGCTTTTCACGCGTGCCGAAATCCGGAAACCATGCATGTTCACCCCTGCAACCACGTTGCAAGTCTTTGTGACCTCCTCAACGTCAAAAAACTGATTGTTCCTTGCGGACACCGAGATCAGTCCGGATGGGCATTGAGTTGGCGCGTCAAACCCAAGCCCTGCTAGCCTCCCTTGCTCCCGGGACAACACGCCACTGTATCGCAATGTCTTACTCGGCCGTGAGCCTTCAAAGCAGCCCGCGTCAATGGCCGCATCGGTACATGTCCCCGCGTCAGTCTCATGCAGGTCGCACCCGTTGGCCTCACTTACCGACAACGGCGGCGGAGGCCGAGCAACGACGCATCTTGGGACAGCGCTGGTCGCATGGGGCGAGGCTATAGTTGAGAAGTTGGAAGGCAAACGAATTTGCAATAAATCCTTGCTGAGTTGTAATTGTCGGAGGAGGCGCAGTATGCAGCGGATAGCTGCGTGCAGGAGCTGAGCGTGGCAACATGCAAAACCAACAGAGTCGCTCGGTTGAAACCGTCAAACGGTTTGTCCCTTGAGAGGTGAGAGGACTTCATTCCCCACTAGTGAAAACGGCGTTTGGCATCATTGGCTACATTCCAGAGCAACCTCAGTTGGTCGGATAAAGGCCAAAAGTCTAGAGCTAAAACGCATTAAAGCTGGCAGGGCTCGTATTGACAGCAACCGTGACCGTCTTGGCCTCGGACAGACTCAGCTCCAAGGGGGGTAAAAGTTGATCATTTTCTTTTTTGGGGTGATGATGCACAAAGTGTTCGTCCACGGGACCGGTTGCATCTCTTTGCACCAACAGGCCTTGGCAATCTGCCCTGGCAAACAGTCCAACCAGCCAACCTAAGACATGGCCCACGCCGTCATAACTAGGAGCGCAAGGGATATAGCTACCAACGCTTTTCCACCCTTTCCCTCCCGCATTGTTCGTCACCGTCCCAGCCATTCCTTTTCTCTGTGGCGAGTGAGAACCGAATTGTTGCCCCTCACAAACTTCTCTGATCACGACAAGAGCACATCCGCGAAAGTTCACCGGTGGACTGCGACGACAACGAAGGACATCTTGTTGACGGGGGAGGAATGTGGGACAGGAAAACATCATGAGCTCGTCAAATCCCTACATCAGCAATGGTACATGCTACCACGGGCCAGGAGACGAGGTGGAAGAATGGTTTCCGTGTGGAAATGCAGACCTGGGGTACAAGACCTGTTGCCAGGGCGGCGACATGTGCTTATCCAGCCATGCTTGCTACAACGGCCGATTCGGAATCACCTATCTCGCAGGCTGCAGCGATCCAGACTATCGAGACGCGAGTTGTCCCGATAAAGGAGCCATGAGTGGTAAGTCACAGTCGCGATGATGCGAGAGATGTACTTTTGGGCATAAGACTAACTGTATGATGTCTAGATCAACCATGGGCAGGTCTAGTCTACTGCAACGGCACTTCGGAACAATGGGTGGCTTGCGAACAGTCGGCGAAGCCCACGACTCTGACATCGGCGGACGCGTGCTGGTGCCCACAAACAACCCGAACCGTCGCCTTCACCGATTCCTCGATCCTCCAAAACGTTGTACAGCTTCCGACTTCACTTGGAGGCAGCGTCATCTGGCAGCCTGGCTACGTTCCGATTCTTACACAGCCCAATACAATCCCGACTCCAACATCACTTGCCTCGACGACCGCTCAAGTTCAGCCTCCTACCACGACGGTACTCAGCACGACGTCACAGCCGACTGCGACACAAACTTCTTCGTCAGATGATACGGCGGGTCTGACGATGACTACCAAGGTCGGGCTTGGCGTCGGTATCGCGGGAGGGTGCTTGGTCCTCATGGCTGCTTTGATATACATATGGAACTCCAGAAGGAAATTGCGACAAACGGGGGCGGCAGAGATGGATAATACGACTGAAAAGGGGAATGGATACGAAGGCGGTATGGCAAAACCATACGAAGCGGATTCAGCGCGGCCAGAGTCCGAAGCAACTGAGTTGGACGGCACCTCCCGGCCCTTCAGATTCGAACCAGCGGGCTTCGGGTACAGGGGCAGTCCGAAATTGGAACCAGATAAAGGATGGGCACAATCGCCGAAGACTCCAGTGGCAGAGTTGCCTGGATAGGGCTGGGATGGAAAGTGCTTGGATATACCAGAGTAGATTAAATAGGATTGTTAAGGAATAGGTATCGTTTGGGTATCCACCGTGTCATTCTAGTTCTCGTTCGTGCCGGCAGGTCGCTTGGTCTCGCCCTCTGTGGTTGAGCCGGATGATTCTTGGACGTTCAACATTGTAGCGGCGGGGTTGGTAGTGTCTGAGACGTGGTTCGCCATGCCGTACCAGCAAACAACGCATATGCCAAGCACGCCTGAGATGATGCTGAAAACAAAGGCGACAATTCCCTTGGTCGTGAATCTGAACTGTTATTAGAGGTACGTCTAGAACTTGAGGAGTTTCATACTTACCCAGCTGGGAGCGGATCAGGAGGCGCGTTCTGCCCGCTAAGGTCCAGAAGATCCTTGGTGTTGCCGGCAGCGTTGCCTGCAACAGGCACGTTTCCAGCTGCACAGACATCGAGGTGGTTCTGCGGCAGAGTGAGGGACTTCTGGATCTCCAGCGGTGCCTCCACAAAGGTTGCCAGCAACCCAGAGGTGACGTGCCACTCAATATGACAATGGAACAGCCAGATGCCTAAAGCAACAGAGTATTAGAATCGCTGCCGGCCTTTATTATGTCATCACAAGGATATACCTGGGTTGTCTGCCTTGAAGCGAAGAACGATATTTCCGTCGGGCCAGAGGACGAGAGTATCCCGGCGCATAGGCACGGCGGGGAAGTCACTCTCGGTCATGTTTGAGTCTGCAAAAGTACCGCTCTCCTCTTCACCACGGTACAGAGACTGGAAGTGATGCCCGTGAAGGTGGAACGGGTGGCGACCGGAATCCAGGTTGTTGACCACGATTTGAACGATTTGGTCCTTCTTCAGAACAAAGCTATGGGTGTAGTCGCCGTAGACTTCAGCATTTTCCGCATCAGCACCGGTTGTAAGTGCAGTATACAACGACGGAACCACTGGTGCCTTGTAACTGATGTTATTGAAGAACGCATAGTTGGCACCATCACCCAAGTTGTCCATGATGACGTTGAGCTCAACGGTCTGGTCTGGCTCTCCAAAACGCGCCAACTCGTCGTGTGGTACCAGGGTCATGTCGTCAAAGGGATTGAGCTCATCGATTAATGCCGGCTCCGGAAGCGAGTTAGACTCATTGTATACCAACCAACCTGTGACGTTCCAATTCAGATCATCGGGCAAGGTGTCGAATAATGTCTAAAGGTGAAGAAGTCGACGTTAGCTCTTGAGATGGTTTCTTCACGGAAAGACTCATGTGTCTTCATTTGCGTATGTGAAGGAATCAAGCTTACCGTATCCATGCTACCGACGATGGCGAAGTTCTCGGTCGTGGAGTTTTTGGTCGTGAGAAGGAAGCTGCAGCGCTGGGCGACGGACAGGTAGATCATCTCAGCTGTCGCCTGCTGGGTGTAAACACCATCGACTTCGATAATAGACATGTTGTGCCCCTCAAACCAGAGATACTGTCCTGCAAAAGCACCAATATTGATGACACGCATCAAGTAGGTCTTACCTGGCTGGATCGAGATCGTGAGGTTCTGCGTCTCATTCATCAACGCTGCCTTTGGCACAGGCTCCGCACCAGTGGGGTTCGTCTTGCTCATGAACGGCGGGATGAGGTTCTGCATCTGCTCATGGTACCAATCCGAAAGCGTCAAGACGATCTCCTCATCGTAATCCCCAGCATAAGGATTGTCCGGATCATGGATGATGAGACTGCCGCGAAGTCCGTCTGGGTACTGGGACATGGTGTGTGAGTGATACCAGTATGTGCCCGGTTGGGTGATCTGGACCATCGTGAAGATTGGCATTAGTAAACACTCCGCTGCTAGAGTTCGTAGTCATGCGAACTCTAACGTTATAAGGTGGGAATACCTACGGTGAAGTTGTAGAGGAATGATGAGCCCGGCGGGATGGGGCATTGCGATACCTGGGCCGGACCATCCATGTGCGTGGTGCCGTTCATGAACAGCCCGTGAAAGTGCAGCGAAGTGGATTGGTTGCCCAAGTCATTGCGCACATTGATGACAATGTTGTCGCCGATGTTGGCCTCAATCTGGGGAATGGGCCATTTTCCATTGATGCCGATGACGGGGCGGTCGAAAGCACCGTCGGGATTGGCAGTGACCCAGCCGACAGTGAAGTCGTAGTTGACTGTCGCTCCGACAGCAAGCCGGGATGCCAGGCACGCAAACGTGAGAGACAGGATCTTGACCATGGCGACCTCAGTTTACCCTCTGGTCTAGTAACGATGGTTGTTGACGTGTCTTTCGCGGGCTGTCTCGAATGACAGAAGTAGCCGCGATGGGGATTGGCGAGGAATGCGGTGTCCTGGCTGTCCTTCGATGAGAGGAAGACGAGAACTTATCTCTGGCTCTTCAACAGGAAACGAGGTGGGTGGTACCCTACTGTAAGGAAAAGAAGGGAA